TTTTTTTTTTTTTTGGTTTTTTTTTTTTTTTTTTTCTTTTTAATGCAATCTCTTCCAAAAGAAAGAATACGGATCCTTTGGGTGAAATCCCCCCCAGACTACCCAACGCTCAGCGGCCTGAACATGCCGATATACAAATGCCCCTTCCAGAGCCTGCTTTGGTCGAGACATCAGGCTGCATTTCAATTCCTTGCACGGCAGCAGCACAGGAACAAAACAGCCGGTTCTTTTCAACAGGAACGTGCAAAGGCATTGTCCCCTTTTTCCGAACGGGGAAACTGAGGCAGGAGGGAGGGATGTGCTCTCTCTCGGCCCTGCAGTGATCCTTGGGGTGATGCTACCAGCTTGGAGCAATTCGGGGACGGAGGGAGTGGGAAAGGGTTTGCTGGGGTGGGCTGAGATGGCTGCTAACGTTGTCCCCACCTGCCAGGGTGTCCCCTCCTTTGGGGTTCGCCCTTTGCCAAATTTATAGCAATGCCCCAAAACAGCCTGGCAAGGGCGGGGGAACTGGAAATGCCATCACCAGCAAGCCTTCCCCAGCCCCGGCAGGCTGCTCACCCATTCTTCCTCTTGCATTTTTAGGCAATGCTGCCATCGAGTGGTCCAGGAGCATCCGGATGCGGGAAGAGCGCTCGGCCACCGGCCGGGACCCCTCTACGGTCACCCTGGCAGCCCCTGTTCCCAGGGCTGCTGGAAAACACGGAGGCCCTGGTTGAAATATAGCTCCTCCTTCACCCATCCTAGCGTGAAAAAGCTCAGTCTCACTTTAACAACTGACCTGGTGTTGGGGACTAAAGGTTTTCAGTCCCTCAGGCTTCCCTAAGGGCTTGCTCCGGCGTAAGAGCCGAGCATCCTCCCTCCACGACGCTCAGCTGTGCAATTCAAACCCGAATTTCTCCCAGTTTTCGGGGCGGCGCAGCTTTACCTGGGAGCGGTTCCTCCAGCTCAGTGCTTCTCTTCCACCGATCTGGGAGGCTGCGTCCTGAGAATGCGATTTAGGAGCATCCTTCAGCAAACCGGAGGTACGCGCTCAGCTTTCCAAGCTGATTTTCCTCTTCATTGGTGCATCCCGAGGGAAAACCAGCTCTCCTGGCAGGCAGCACCACAGTTGTTATTTTTTTGCCCACACTTGGCAATAACACAACACTGGAAGAGTAAGTTCAAATCAGTCCTGTCTGGTGGGTATTATAAGCCCGGACTGGGGGAAGGTGCGAATCTCTGTTTGCAGTTTAATTAGATTACAACAGCTTATTCATGGGAGAAAAGACTTTTTAGCAGAGAAGGTTTTGCCAGCCCAACAGGAGCTGTGTTTGCTTTACGAGCGAAGGGGCCCTAAAATGAAACGTTCTGTTTGCAGTGGTAGGAAGCCGGTTGCACCGAAGCGGAAAGACCTTTTCCCTCTTTGAGAAGTCAAACAATTGCTTTGTTCGCCGGGGATGCAAAGCACTCGCCGGCCACAACGTAAAGCCGTTTGGAGAAATCCCACGGCTGTTACATTGGAAAGCTTTATAATATATAATATATAAATATTATATAATATATAAAATAGATAAGCTTTACAATTAACAGCGTGTTTTAAGCTCCCGGTGACTTTTTAGAGCACGTTTGGCCCAGATGCCCGTCAGCCCCCCAAAAGGATGCAAAGCATGGGAAGATTTTAAGGGCAAAGAGGTTGGAGAGGGGATTAGGAGGCGTGAAAATGGGGTGTGGGGAAACCTGGGGGCCCGGAGCCCGGAGCCCCCCCAGGCAGGGGACCGGGGGAGGGCTCTCCGTGCCGGCTCTGCCCATCGCTCGCTGGCACCGCCCGCGCGCTTATAAAAAGCCCCGGTCGTGCCTCGCCCGCCGCAGCCCCCTTGCCCCCCCCCCCCCCGCAGCCGGCCACGCGGCACCGGCTCGGGCTGCACCCCGAACCCCTCTCTGGTCCTGAACCGGGAGGGACCCGCATCCCGAACCGGCTGCACCCCGAGCCGGGAGGGACCCGCGTCCCGCTCCGGTCCCGAACCGGGAGGGACCCGCATCCCGAACCGGCTGCACCCCGAGCCGGGAGGGACCCGCGTCCCGCTCCGGTCCCGAACCGGGAGGGACCCGCATCCCGAACCGGCTGCACCCAAACCGGGAGGGACCCGCATCCTGCTCTGGTCTCGAACTGGGAAGGACCCGCATCCCTCTCCGGACCTGAACGGGGAGGGACCCGCATCCCAAACCAGCTGCGCCCTGAATCGGGAGGAACCTGCTCCCCGGTGCAGCTGCAGCCAAGCCCGGAGGGACCCGTGCCCCGAACCAGCTGTGCCCAAACCTGGAGAGACCTGCACCCCGAACCAGCGGTGTGCCTTGACATGGCCAGGCACCCTGCTCCAGCTGCACCCAGAGACGGGAGGGACCTGCACCCCGAACCAGCCATGCACCCCAGACCGACTGCACCCTGAATCAGAAGGGTCCTACACCCCAAACTGGCTGCGCACCCCAAACTGGCTGCACCCTGAACCAGGAGAGACCTATACTGTGAATGAGCTGTGCACCCCAAACCAGCTGTCCCCTGAACTGGGAGGTACCTATGCCCTGAACCAGCCTGAACCACCCAAAAATGGCTGCACTCCGAACCAGGAGGGAGCTGTGTGCCCCGAACTAGCTGCATGCCCCAAACGTGTTGTAGCCTGCTCCAGCTGTGCCCTAACCAGGAGGTACCTGCACCTCAAAGCATCCCTGTGCCTGGTCTGGCTGCATCGTGGTGCGATGGATAACACTCTGCCGCTGGAAGCGGAGCTGGAGCACCAGTGGCTGCTCAACGCTTCCCTGAACGAGTCCTTCGTGAACCAGTTTGTGCAGCCCCCGTGGCAGGTGGCCCTGTGGGCTGTCGCCTACGCCCTCATCGTGGTGGTGTCGGTGGTGGGGAACGTGGTGGTGATGTGGATCATCCTGGCTCACAAGAGGATGCGCACCGTCACCAACTACTTCTTGGTGAACCTGGCTTTCGCCGAAGCCTCCATGTCTGCCTTCAACACGGTGGTGAACTTCACCTACGCCATCCACAACGAGTGGTACTACGGGCTGCTCTACTGCAAGTTTCACAACTTCTTCCCCATCGCCGCCGTCTTCGCCAGCATCTACTCCATGACGGCCATCGCCCTGGACAGGTGAGCTCTGAACGTCAAACCCCAAACCCTCCCCGGCACCCAGGTCTGCCTCCACCTGGGTACCGTGCTCAGCTCCGGCTGATCTCCGGTCATGGGAGAACATTGCAATTAAAATAAAGCTCATTTTGGTAAAAGAGGGCTAGAAATAATCCTTCTCCCCGCCCTGGTTGCAGGTGGCTTTGGGAATCCTTTGTCAGCTCTGCGGAAGGAGCTCGAGAAAAGGCTTTGTAACCCCCGTGGCATGTCAGTAGCGTGTCTTGGGTGTGCATTTGTAGCATCGCTGTCCTCTCCCCTCCCAGCTCCTCTGCAGAGCCATCCATTCCTTTCCCAACTTCCTCATTCAAAAGCAAACTCGATATTCAGCACAAAATGGCATCACCTCATGACATAAAAGACATGCCTGTGTCGGACATGCCTCTGCTGCGCTGCAGGAGCTGTTTCGTGTCTCTTGGTCTGGGTTGGGAACCGTCTAAGGAGCCTTCGAGAGAAGCTCAGGCTCGGGAAAGGCATCTTGACTTGGCGAGTGTGTTGTCGCGTTGCGTGCCGGCATGTCCCCCCAGGCAAACCCACCTTGATTTTATTAGTGGGGGTCAAGGGGAAGAGGTAGATGCCACGGATTTCTCTCGTTTGGCTGCAGCCAGCGCAGCTTAGTTGGTTGGTTTTTTCACTGCCCGGTTTCTGCCGGCGCTGCCCGATGGCTGGGGACTGCCGGCAGAGCGAGATCCTGCTTGCGTTTTGCCGCGATCAAAAGTTCAGCAAGTGCTCGGCGGGGTGCGATGGCACAGGGGACACTGCCTTTTTCACCTCAGAGGGACGAGCCAGGGGTCAAGGGACACAAAATAGCCATGCACCACGCATGTCCAGTGCGCAGCTCCCCTCTCTTCTCTCCCTCTCCAAGAAATCTTTTTATCTGACGGCATTTTCACACCAGTGCTAGAGAAAAACCGAGGCTCTCAAACAGCTTTGCAATTCCCTCTTGAGTACCACCGTTTCAAGCGCAACAGATTTTTCCAACACAACATATTTCCCAAAGACAGCTCGGCTCTGCGACACCTCTTTTTGGTCCTTCTTCCCAGGGAGTAAAAGACATTTTGGCTGGGGATACATGCGAAGGGGCGGGGAGGAGGTTTGCATTGCCGTATGCCAGCACATTTTGAGCTGATGTCTGAGTGCTGCACAAACTGGCACGGATATTTCCCTACGAGAATTTCTAGTGCTGCCACAACTCACACACTGACAGCTTGGGAAACAGAGCTTGAGATGGATGACGCTCTCTAGTCGTTAAAAACAGGCTCAGGTTTTGTCTCGCCCTGGAGTGGTTACAAGACCCTCTCCTCAAAATAAATCGGACATAGCCAAGCTCTCATACCGGAGATGTGAGGAGAATTAAGGCAGTAACAAATAAAAAGAGGAATACTACCAGCGTGGCTCTGTTCCTACCCGATGGTGTTGGTGGCTCTGTTTCAGGAGCATCTGCATTTTGAGGATATTGGGGATCAGCCAGCAAAGCCCCTTTTAGGTTAGGATGAATTAGAGAGATGATGATTTTTTTTTTTTTTAATAGTTTGGGTTTTAGCCTTCGGTCCATACCCTGGAATAACCAGAAAAGCAAATCTGCCAGGGGAAGCTGGAAGAGCATGTGTAAGATGGGGAGCAAAGACAGGTCTGGGAGCCTGGGGCTGAATTTTGAGGGGGAATTGGCATTTCCAGCTTTCTTCTTGCACCTGCAAACCCTTAACGGAGGCTTGGTTTTCCCACGGCTGGGCTGCAAAACCCAGGCGTGCAGGCTTGGCTCGCCCACCAAGAAGGACCCAAAAGAAGCTGCAGCCTCAGTATGCAAACACCTCCTGCACAGAGCTACCTGCTGCATTTCTTGACCCCAAATTTCCAGCGAGGTGGGAAATTTGGAAGGTGAAGGCAGCAAAGCCCATCCTCTGCCCCTCCAGGCAAGCAGCACACGACATCACCTCCAAGCGCTGGGAAGTCGCTTGGGTTCCTGTGTCTGAGACCTGACAATAGTAACTTAAATGCATGAAATGCAGGAACTTTTTCCAGGAACCCAAAAGGAAGGAATTTGTCCCGGCAAGCAGCAAAAAGCTGTGCGGAAACAAGGAAAGCAAGTACCTGAATTTGGAGCAGCAGAGCCAGGTAGGCTTAGCAAAATGGGTTATATTCCCAGCCAGGGCATATCTGAAATCAAACATGACCGCAGTCCTGATTTTCATCAAAAACTAGGAAAGCAGAATTGAATGTGCCTCGTGTTCCCAAGGTGTATTAAGCCATCTATCAGAGCGGTTGGATATGGAGTCTGAAGGCTCAGAGGAGCATCGGTCTGCAGATTGCTCCCCTAAATCATCTCCACTTGTGCTTTCTGCAAGCAATTTCCAGAATGTCCTTGCTGGAGGATATGAAACCGCCTTGGAAAGACTCGGCACAGCCGTAACAGAGTTGTTGAGAGAACAAGCAGGGAAGTGGGTTTGATTCTCCCAATGGCTTTTTTTTGCAAAACCTGCCATGGGTTTGTGCAAGAAAAAAAAGCTTTTGCTTGAAGCTAGACCATCTGCTCTTTCACCAGGATCTATTTCAGCCTGGGCACAACCGCGCTGAAAAAATAAAAAGAAGGTAATCCTATAGCGAGTGTTATTCTGAACCCTGCAACAATAGCAGGAAATTCAGGAGTCAAGGCTGGCAGCTGGTAAAGTCTGCTCAGGAAAAGCCATGATGCTGCTTCTCAGCATCCTGCAGAAGTGGGGGCCAAACGGCTCGCTTTGGCACTACAGAATTTGCCACGTCTTTCGGGTTTGGGGGGATCAGTGCCAGAGCACATCACGTATCCCTTTCCGGCTTCAAACTCTCCTTGTGAATTAATTCACTTGAAAGAGACAGACAGAAAATCCTGGGTTTCTTCCGATCTTCCAGGAAGAGTGGGAGCCCAGCAGTGCCCATGGTGAGTCCGAGCTAATTTGCAGCCGCCACACTTAGAGGGGAAAAAAACCAACAAACTCTGGACATCCCTAAGTTGCGATGTCTATGGCACACGGGATGGAGCGTCGTTAGATAAACTGTTGATATTTTCTCTCTCCTTGGGACCTGGGTTCATTTCTGAGCACCACCACTCGCCCGCACCGTTAGCAAACTTCGGACGGAGGAATGAGTTTCCGTGATGATGGACAACCGGGAATGCAGCTGAAGGTGAAGATCCGGGATTATTTGCAGAATCAGAAAAAAAAATCATGTCTGATCTCAAAACTTTAAGTGAGCTAAGCCGAAAACACCACAGACTGAACAAATACTGGCGAGAAGGGTGAGAGCCCTGCCATGAACTCGGGGTGAAGACAGACTGTCTTAAATAGCTTGGGCTATTTAATACAAAGCGATTTCCCTTTTTCTGCAGAGAGTCCTGCGCCCTAAAGCAGCTAGAGAAGTGACATACGGTGGGGCTAACCTCCTGCAAGTCCTAGACCAACTTGCTGCTTTTGCTCATTAAAAGAGCCCCCTCTCCGACCTCCACCAGCACCAACGCTGCCAGACCAACACACAGGGCTGGGCAATAAACTGGGATCTTCTTAATATTCCCTTTTTTATTTCCAAACGGGTTATCAAATTATATTAGGTGTCTTAAGATCCATCAATTTGCCAGCAGGAGCTGAAGAAGAAACATCAAATCTGCGAACCTTCGTTCACCACCGCGGCTCCTAAAATTGCTAGTCTGCAGCCGAGACCTGTTAATATCTCCCCAATCCCATATTATTTGCAGCAGAAAAACTGGCTCGGAAAATTATTTACTGCTTGCAAGCTTGAACTCCCAGGTTGGATTAACCAGCTGAATATCAGGAACATATTCGCCAGCTCAGCGACCCCATGCCTTCCCCGAGAGGTGATTACTGCAGAAAGAAACCCTCCGGAGAGGACAAATTACATCAGCGCACAGACAGATTAATTAGTCATTTACACCCTAATATAGCATCAGGGGTTTTTTTTAATCTTGACTTACTGGACTTCTGGGGTTTGCAGAGCAGGACTTTGATCTGCACCCGGCGCTGTGTAATCTTGCTCTGCTGGGATGTAATTTGGAAGATGGAAGAGCAAGGGGGAAGCGAAAGGAGCCCAGGTTTAGGGCCAGCAGCCCCTGCACCAGCCGCCCTGCGGCACTGCCTACGCACCACCTAGCAATAACCGAAGCAGCTTTTTGCATTCCCAAAAAATCAAGCCTCACCGAACGCTGCAAAAACCCTACCAAAGCTGCTGGATACCCAGCACAGAGCTGGCTCGAAGCGTTGATTTCCCAGCTGAGGTTAGAAAGCAGGGGGACGGCGATGGACAAGGGGACACCCTTTACTAAGGGGTCACTCATCAAGGCTGGTTTATGCCCCCGCTCCCAGCAGTGGTCCCTGATCTGATGGGTATTAACTGGAATTAATCCCCCCAATACCCACTAGATACGAATTCAGCCTGTCAAAAAATAAATTACATCTTTTTTCCACCCCTTTCCTTCGGAAAGAAGAGGGGGCTTGAAATTCCCATGGCAATAAATACAGAACTAAGATGAACTAGCGACAGTTTGGTGGCTGGGAGGTGAAGGAGACTCAGGTTTATAGACATGCTTTTGGGGTGATCACGGTGCTCATCTGCAAGCTGGGTGCTGCCACAAGCCACCGTAGGAGTTTGAGGGCCTCTGGTGAGATATTTGGTTTATCCGATGGCTTTCTTAATTTATTGCTTAATTTGTTCTTAATTCCTCAATGGCCCAGTGGAAACCACTCATGCACTAAGAGCGCCAGGTCTCATGGGTCACCAGCCCTGCATTTCGTGTGATTTTTTTGTTCTCCCTCTTCACTCTCCAGCCATAAACCAGTGCCAGGGCTAATTTGTTGATAAGGTTATATATGACAGGCACATACATGTGCCTCGAATAACAGCATCTGCAGAGTCTCTCAGCAGGGCTGGGTTGTGCTTTGGGTCTTCCTCTCCCATCCCACCCCGGCGCTGTCGGCAAACGC